ATTAAAAAGAAGAGCCAACAACTAAGAAAGCAACTGCAAGCACTGCAAAATGAGATTAATTATTACCAATCACAAGCTGTGATGATGACCCCCGCCCAAAGAGGCACAATCCCGTTACTTAGAACTCTGATAGCAATAGCGCTCCCAATAACCTCTTAATGTCAGACCCAATCAGAGCCAACTCCGCCATAACCCACAGTACCATCCTCGCCCAAGTTGGATACTCCTCCCTGCAGAGTTCAGCCAGATGCTTCCCAGTCACCACTCCGAGCCGTGCCGCCAAAAGCTGAACCAGAAGTCCCATAGCCGTAGCCCACATGAGAAGCCATAAGAGAGAGTAGCCGGCAATTGCACCAGCCTGAAGATCTCCCTCAAGATTTCCGGGATCGAGAAAGGCGATGCTCATAAGAAAACCAGGGCCTGTGAAGAGCCAGAGCTTCTTCCATGAAAACGGCGGGGCACGATCACAGCCGTCGTAGTCAGCGTTGGACTCGTCGACTCCGACGACCACCACTTGCTCGGAGGAATCGTAAGCGGCTTCGGTTGTTTGTTTGTCGGAGTCCCCTAACAGTGGTTGTTCGTGCTCGTGATCTTGGGGAGGCATGGCGGATAATAAGGAGAGAAGTTGACCTCTTCTTTGTCCCGCCCCCAAGGCCGTTAACGCAGCTTGAAACTGTGAAGTGTATTCAGCGACGAACTGATTAGATTCGCGCTGAGCTTCTGGTTTATCGGAAAGTCTGCTTCTTTATAACATTTTGTGGCATCTACGACCCCAAGGGAATGGAATGGTTGTCACTAAAAAGTTAAAAAGTCAGAATTGATTTATTTTACAGATTTCCGATCTTTTTTATTTTATAAGATATATTGTAAAATAAGTTTTATATTTATAACTAAAACAATATTATATATATATATATATTTTTTTTTTTTCCTTTCTTGATTTCTTCTTCCAGTGGACAGGGGATACCAAACCTTACTGGGGATGAGAATGAAGCTTAACATTATACGGCGTGTCACTCCCAACTCTATCTGGGGACCCTCCATGCTTAAAAAAATCTTCTTTACATCTAAGCGTATTCAGTACTAATTTTTCATTTGTTGGTGATAAATCTCTTTTTTCTCAACGGCAATGATATTGAAATACATTAGTAATATTTGGCGAGTTGATAACACGGTGATAAACATTTTTTATAATTATTCTGAGAAATTAATTATTAATACGAGAAAAATGCATGATTAGCGATATGTATGATTTGTTTATGATTTATGTAAATAGGCCCATAAGTATTATTGTATAAGTGAATTTTGGATAATTAATAAACATACGATTCATGAAAATGACGTGTTCGTACAGTCACGGGTTGAGATGCAGGCAAAGTGCCGAGTGTGTGGAGGACACCAGCTAGCAAGCGTCTTGACCGTGGATGCTCCGTGCACACACGGGCTGCAAGCAAGGATCGTTCATCAATCATCATTGTTTTTGTTTTTATTTTTGTTTTCTTCTTTCCTGTTTTTCTTGGGGTCAGCCGCCATTCATCGTTTAGCCGATCGTTCAATACTTCTTTCTCGGGTGAGACCAAAAGCAAAATACAGCGAAACAAAATGGAAATTTTTTTTAAAAAATATCTTTTAAATTTTAAAAATTTAAATTAATGGTGATTTTAATAACAATTTTCAAAAGCAAATGACAATATATTTTTTCAGTAACTTTTTATTTAAAATTTTAAAACGTATTTTTTTGGTTTCGTTAGCAAGTATTGGGGGATGAAATTATTTGAAATGTTATCAAAATTATATTTGTAATATTTACTGTTGAAACATCGGGGAGGAGCAAAACGTCTGACTCGTGAGTGAACAAAGCTTGCCCTTCTGCTTCTTGGGGTTGTTGGGTTTGTCCAGTCTTGGGCCGGGGTCCCGCTGTTATAATAATCTCTCAAAACGATCCGTACTAAAATGGCTTTTTAAAAGGGAGAATTTCACTGTAGGACCGCAGAAGACAAATAATCTCAAAGAGCCTCCAAAACTTTCTGAAACCTCACTGCAGGATCAAAGGACCAATCTGATATTAATTTTTAGAGTGAGATTACAATAATACCCCTCCCTTTTTATTTTATTAAAAAATAAATATTTACCGGAGTTACTGTTCCAGCCACCGGAGGTCGGAGGTCCGGCCACCGGCGCTCAGGTGGCCGCCGTCGAGGTCCGGTCACCGGTGGCCGGAACAGTAACTCCGACGGAACCTCCAGTGGCCGGAGTTTTTTTTGAGTGGCCAAGGGAGAGTTTGAACCCAGGACCCCTTAGCACACCAAAAGACTTGTAACCACCAAGCCAAGCAACCCATTCAATCATAAAATGCAAATAAAACTATATATAACAAAATAAACACAACAGTCCAAATATAACTGAACAAGTGAAATTAGACGATTTACAAGTGAAATTCAGAAATTTGCAACAAAAATTAGGCAATTTACAAATAACATAATAGAAGTCATAACCCTAAATGCAAGTGTTTAAGTGCAAATGAGCAAGTGAAATTTGAAGATTTACAATAAAATTTTATGGATTTACAACCCAGATTTGGCAAACACAAGAGAATTCACAACCCAAAATGTAAGTGTTTGAGTGTAAGTGAACAAATGAAATTAGACGATTTACAAGTGTAATTCAGAAATTTGCAACAAAAATTAGGCAATTTACAAATAACATAATAGAAGTCATAACCCCAAATGCAAGTGTTTAAGTGCAAATGAGCAAGTGAAATTTGAAGATTTACAATAAAATTTTATGGATTTACAACCCAAATTTGGCAAACACAAGAGAATTCACAACCCAAAATGTAAGTGTTTGAGTGTAAGTGAACAAATGAAATTAGACGATTTACAAGTGTAATTCAGCAATTTAGAACAAAAATTAGACAATTTACAAATAACATAATAGAAGTCATAACCCCAAATGCAAGTGTTTAAGTGCAAATGAGCAAGTGAAATTTAAAGATTTACAATAAAATTTATGGATTTACAACCCAAATTTGGCAAATACAAGAGAATTCACAACCCAAAATGTAAGTGTTTGAGTGTAAGTGAAGAAGTAAAATTAGACGATTTACAAGTGGAATTCAGCAATTTACAAATAACATAATAGAAGTCATAACCCCAAATGCAAGTGTTTAAGTGTAAATGAGCAAGTGAAATTGTCGAATTTCACTTGCAAATCTATAAACTTTTGTTATAAATCTTCAAATTGTATTTGCTCATTTACACTTAAACACTTGTATTTGGGATTGTGAGTTCCATTATGTTATTTGTAAATTGCCTAATTTTTGTTGTAAATTACTGAATTCCACTTGTAAATCGTCTAATTTCACTTGTTCACTTGCACTCAAACACTTACATTTTGGGTTGTGATTTTTCTTGTGTTTACCAAATTTGGGTTGTAAATCCATAAACTTTTATTGTAAATCTTCAAATTCTACTTGCTCATTTGCACTTAAATACTTGCATTTTGGGTTATGACTTCTATTATGTTATTTGTAAATTGCCTAATTTTTTGTTGCAAATTTCTGAATTCCACTTGTAAATCGTCTAATTTCACTTGTTCACTTACATTTGGACTGTTGCGTTTATTTTGTTATATATAGTTTTATTTGCATTTTATGATTGAATGGGTTGCTTAGCTTGGTGGTTACAAGTCTTTTGGTGTGCCAAGGGGTCCTGGGTTCAAACCCTCTATTGGCCACTTTGTTTTAAACAAAAAAAACTCCGGCCACCGGAGATCCCGCCGGAGTTACTGTTCCGGCCACCGGTGACCGGACCCCGACGGCGGCCACCTGAGCGCCGGTGGCCGGACCTCCGACCTCCGGTGGCCGGAACAGTAACTCCGATAAATATTTATTTTTTAATAAAATAAAAAGGGAGGGATATTATTGTAATCTTATTCTAAAAATTAATATCAGATTTGTCCCTTGGTCCTGCAGTGAGGTTTCAGAAAGTTTTGGGGGCTCTTTGATATTAATTGTCTCCTGCGGTCCTACAGTGAAATTTTTCCTTTTAAAAATTTTCAATCATCGTTTATTAAAGATGAAGTATGTTTATAAATATTTATAACCTCAAAACCAAACTAGTCCATAATATCGTTTTTTTTTTTTGGTCGTGGAAGCAGCCGAAATAAAGGGACCATCTAATATCATTAAAAGGCCGAACGAGCCCATAATATCATTACTTATTTTTATGTTCTTTCTTCCTTGATTGAAAGATGAACCCAGACACAGACCAGATCCTGGGAAAGATATATTCCGGTGGTATTTTCATTCCAAAGAAAACGAGGAATGTATATTATAGAGTGTATGAATTACTATTTTAAACTCTTGTCTAAACCTTTTCCCGGGGGCGTTGGCTGGGGAGCACGGGTGGGTTACGTACTTGTGTTTGTCGTCAAATCGCGACAGATAAGATTCCTCGAAGAGGGAGCAAAAGCATGCCTGTGGCAGGGCAGGCTTGCTCAGAGGCAGAGCACATGCCTCTTGCCACGTGCTTTTCATTTCCTCCGTCATCGTCCTTATAATATTGCCAATGTGTCCAACCCCACGTGGTTTAATTTAACATAAAATTAAAATTACGAATAAGTCCCAATTCTTAATCAGTCAATAAAATTAAATTTTTAATAAGATCTTTTCCCTAATTTTTCTTTTTTTTATTTACAACTGATACATGATTTTCTCCTCTAACGACCTGCTGGGGGACCACTTGGGCCACTCTGCCTGCGGGCTTTTTCTCTGGTCCCATACTTGATATGCATATTTGGGCCTCTCAATAAGAATCCATTGGTTGTAACTTTAGGTGGGCCACATTTGCAAGCAGTCTGGCCCGGACGCTTGTTTACAAGATGAATGACTTCTTGATCCCCCAAGTCTTTGTTGTTTTTCTCCCAGCCCAGAATGATGTTCAGGTTTTTTCCCTAAACACAGAATTCATATTCACCTTTATGAGGCAGAGGAGTGGGCCATGCTAAAGGGTCTTAACTTGGGTTGGGGTATGGAATCCAGAGATATTATAGTTGAATCTGATTGTAAAAGTCACACTGACTCTGTCCTTGGAGAAAAAGGTGTAAGGATCACTTGCAGCGCTACTCCACGGGAAATTAAAAGGCTCCTGGCTCTGACATGGAACATCAAGCTTCAATTTATTCAAAGAGAATGCAACCAACTTGCTGATACGCTAACAAAGATGGGTCTCACAACCACTGCAGTTCTTGACATTGCTCCTCAACACGCGAGGACACTGGTAAATAAAGAGGTTTTGGAATCTCAATCCCCAGTGTTCTGATTTACCCAAAAAAAAAAAAAGAACACATTCAATAAAAAAAACAAGACTCATCTTATTTACTTATCCCGTACTACCTCCGGTCCTAATTATAAGAGCCAGTTGACTAATTTGAGAAAATTAAAGAAAGAAGTTAAGTTAGTTATTTGTAATAAATAGATGTTGTCTTTCCTAAAATATTCTTACTAATCAAGTATATTGACTAAAACTATAATTATTAAAAGGACTGTTTTAGAAAAAAGTTGAGTAAATGTGAGAGACAAAATGGATTGGGGTGTTATATTTATGACCAACATAAAAGTCAAACGAGGTTTTATATTAAGGACCGGAGGTAGTATTTCGTAACTTATGATTAAAAAATTATTTATAAGATATTCTAAACAAAAATAACATCAGAATCTATGATTCCACGACAGGATGAGAGATCAATGGCCCGGTTTGCCAGGTGGTCACTCTACGAAGTTTCTTAATGGTTCGCCGGAAGCGGAGGTAGGGGACTGACTTTCACAACCCTGCAGTCTGAGGACCAAATCACCCAACGTTGCTTAGTCTGTGATATTTATATTTCAACATCTACATATCAATATTCATGGCAATTACATCTCCCAAGCCTTAAAAATTTAATTTTAAAGAGGTTATGGAATCTATTTAGACTTATTAAATGATGACTTTATATTTAAGAGCAATATATTGATTACCCTTTTGTATTATCTAAATTATAGAAACTTTTCATCTATTTTGAAAATATAAATAAATCTCTTTTTACATTAGAATATTTATTACACAAACCTCTCTTATATTTTTAAAATTCTATTTTCATCCATCTAACTATTAGTTGACCGTCAAATTTTATTTTTAAGCTTTTATTTTACCAAAATATCTCTATTTAACATAAAAATTATTTAAACATTTATATATAAAAAAATATTTTTTTTTACAAAAAAATTATTATAATACATATATTTTCAAAAAATTTAATATGTTATAAAATTTATTAATTATTATATTATATAATTATATAATTTTAATTCTTCATGAAATATTGAAATTTAAGGTCTCTTTTAAATAGCTAAAATATATTTTAAATGCTTTTTTTTTTATCATACAAGATAAATTATGTGCGTTCGGAAAATTATATGAAGCATTTAAATTTATAATTTAAATTTTTTTATTCAATTCATCAAATTTGTATTCAATTTTTTTTATGTTTATATTAACTTAATTACTTAATTTTATGGTCCAATATGATAAAAACATTAAACAAACAATGATTTGTAAAAATAAAAGATAAAATGAAGTAAAGGAAAAAATATTAAATTCTTCAAAATAGTTTTAGTCAAAATTTAGGAATTAAGTGTTATGAAGGGTAAATTAGTAAAAAAAGTATTTCAACATAAATTTTAATTAAAAAAACATCTTTTTAGAATATTTTTAACAAAACTAACAGTTTGAACTTAAACGTATGTTTTCAAAATACAGGGAAAGTCCATATAATTAAGTCCAAATGCAAAGGATATTAGAGTATTTTATTCTATATTTAAATCTGAAGCTACGCGTCGATTTTTATCCAAACAGAACCATTATATTGTTTTAAAAATCATATAGGATCATCCGTTGTCGGATCTGGCAATGGGGGCAAAACTGGAAATTGGCAAAGTGGAGAACCAGTTTAAGCTTGACAGAATATTAATTTTATTTTAAATATCTAAATCATGTTCTAAGCTATATTTTATGCGTATATATATTATAGGTATTGAAAAAGAAAAACTAATGGAAAATGCGCAAAGAATGTGAATGTTTATTGTAAAAATACAAATTTCAAAATAATCATATACATTATAAGTATAAATATTAAATCTCACAATCATTTTATTTTTTTAGATCATAAAATATTCATTAATTCTCTCATATTACATTTTTTAAAACCAATAATAACATTTTGGTTAAGCTGGAGAGAAGATAAGCCCTCATCTTATTGCCTTTCAATTTTTATTTACGTACTAAGGAAATGAGAAGGTAGCATTCAATCCTTAGGCATGGAAAAGCTTTAAAACCCCGGGCCAGTTGCCCCATCCATCAAAGTGCCTACAAGCCAGCGAAGAGATTAGTCATCGGGTCCGCCGGTGGATACCTTGATGTTTCATCATCAAAAAAAGAAGGTAGCATTCAATAATAGAAGGGTATAACATTATTTAAACTCGAGTTATAAATATAATTCTGTAAAATAATATTTTATAAAATATTTCCTATAATATTATATTTAACATATAAAATCAGAAATGCATTAAATTAAGTACGAGTGGTCTAACCACGGTTCAACCACTACCAAGCCAATGGCTCAATTAGGATTATTAATACCGCTCAGGCTTTAACGACAAAAGAGCCCGTCGTATTCCTCTTCGAGGTAGAATTAATAACTAGCAGGCAGGCTTTATTGTTCCCTGCAGGACGTATACATCATTCTCTTGCGGATAAGGTTTTACGGAAGAAGGCCCAATACTGATTTATGGGGCTGTCTGAGTCTGAGCATGTAATAATTAAGGTTCTGTCTAACTCTCAAATGCTACAAAGTTCCTACCCACGAATAGTCGAATACAAAGGTTTTAAAAGATCAACAAACCAAGTCATTACTACTTGTGCTCAAACTAATGAATTATTGTATGTCATCCACTGGTACGCATGAAGATTGTACTTAGAAAAAGGATAACCAGAACCGGCACAGCATGGTGGTCCAACCATCTCAGCAGATGTAACCTTTAACCTCTGATCTTATTTGCATATGAAAGAAGGGACAGAGAACTAAAGGGACAGTCAACTGTCTGAGGCAATTAAGCAACAGGGGAAAATATAGTGAATCAAGACATCCTCAAAAATGTTAAGAATACAGAGATATAAGAGGACAATAATACACGTGGTGCTTTTTTTTTTCCCCTCCTGTCTTGTTAATAAATAACAGCCCGACCTGAAGTTGTAATCGGTTCAGCAATAATCGTCCAGCCCAACCCAAGACTGAAAATGTTCTCTATTATTCAAGCCTTCAGTTCTGAGGCCTCCAAAGGGACCATTGCTTGCCGAGTTGCCGTCGTTGTAAAGGAAAAGAGTCAGCTGTTGGCGGCAAAGGATGTTGAGGATGCAAGAGACACGATCATCATTGCGGCCATTTTAAGCAGCAAAAGTTTAACAGAGTTATTTAATACCCTCTCCAATGGTACACTCGTTTACTCTATTGCAATTATCTGCACTTTTAAATGAGCTTTATTGCAGCGCTTTTATGAACTTTTTGGTTGGGACTAGATTGTGTTCAAACCTGACAAACTATAGGATCGGAAAGGGCTGGAGTTTAATTTAATGAGGATTTACTAGACAGGAAGACATTCGAGGATTTTACTTTAGCTGCTTCCGGTCGCTTTAAAACCTTATTCCGGACACACCAACTACAACATATTCAATTGCCTGCTGTTCGATTCAATTAACCTGGAAAAGCTGGCCTGCGTGTGCTACGCCTTTATCGGGATGTATAGCATTTTGCTTCGGCCTGAAATAATCTTTCTGAGAAGCTCTCGTTAATTGCTATACTGCCTCTTTCTTGTCCTACGTGAAAGAAAAAGACATTCGTTTTGAGGCCCATGCGAACATTTTCGAAGGTTTATAGTAAATATCCTCGTCGTCTCATGACTTCTACATATAAATATCCTTAGTTAATTGCACATTCTTCAATTAACATACATGTGACTTTGCTGTGGAAAGCTTTGAGGCAAAACTAACGATCATGAAGGAAATACAGCTTGCATGGTAGCCCATAGAATAGTTAAGTAATAACAGAAAGGTGACCATTCTCTAATTATGTCGGCTAATATGCAATATTCAAATACTCCTTTAACACTTCTTTCGGGCTATAAAATACTTTAACTCAAATGGTTGCAACTTGGATTCATCATTAATTATCTTTGACTCCAGTGCATGGATAATTGAGAGCGGCTTATGTATACTCGTAAGAGTAACAAGTATCTCGAAGTTTACCAGTAGCTGGCTTTCTTTTTAATATTGTGATCAGAACTAAGAAGTCGCTTGCCTATCTTCACAAAAAAAAAAAAACTTTTGATACGAGATTTTAGTAAAGATACGTACTCTTCGATGTCACGCAAACAGGTATCTTTTATTTTAGACAAGCTGCTACGTGGGGCAGGAGAGCGTGTATGTAGAAACTTCACATGCCAAAATTAAAAGTGGTCGACATATTTAGTCAGTTATCTCAATAATTTGTAAAAATATGATACTACTCCCTTCGCTTCTTATTATAAGTTTTAAATAACTAATTCACAGATAATAAATAATTAGTTAAAAGTACTTAATAACAATAAAAAGGTTAGAAATTGACTTTTGTTTCTAAATATGCCCTTTTAATAAATGAGAAAAGTGATGATAGGGAATGTATGGGCAAATGTGATGAGAGAGAAATTAAAGGTAATATTAAAAAAAACACATTAAAAATAATATTAAGGCAAACTCAGATTAAAACTTATAAAATAAACTACACTTCTTCTCAAATTTGAAGTTTATAAATAGGACCGGATGGAGTAGTTTTTAAAATTTGTCTTTATGAAACAACTAGTGCATAACTGGGGGAGCCCGCTTGTTTTGCCAGAAAAGTATTGATCTCAAATCTGAGCATATAGCTATGTTAAATACTTAGTGGAAGTGTCTGCCATCCTTTGGTCAAGCGTACCTTTGTGAAAGTACTTGCATTGTATATAGATATAGCACTGTACGTTACATCCACATTTAATCCTTACTTGAAGGATGAAAGTATACATATTATGTGATTAAAATAAATGCAACATTTTTGTGGCTTCCCCCCATAGCAAATCAAATGACTCATATTAAAAGCAACTTTTTAATCATGATTTACATTATGCTAACCTCATATCGTAAAAAGAGTTTTTTCTCGATTTATATAAAAATAATTATAAATACTTAAGATAAGCAGATACAAACAAGCCCTT